GTCTACCCTCCACGTTTTACTGAGGAAGAAACTAAACACCCAGAGAACAAGCAGCTTGTGTGAGTTCTGGGAGTCAAGTATTCTAATTATTCTTCACATTCTAAAAATTGCCCACAGCATGGAAGAATCACTGAATGCATTTCTATGCTCACGAGACAAAACTAAGCTGCCATTTTTAACTCACACTCTGTGAATAGAGCCTTCACTTCTGGAGGTGCTCACAGGAGAGTTATAGACTCTGGGACTGTTGAGAGTTGGCTCCACACCAACATTAGAGGCAAAGGCAAAGTGGGCATTGGGTCCCTATGGTGCCTGTAGCGAGATCACAAAGGAGCCCCAGTATGAAGGATCTAATAATTGAATTTAAGTGTTGGCAGCAATGAAAGACACCTGCCCTCCAAGGGCCTCAGATGTGAGCAAGCCAGTGTTTAGACCATTTCACTATGAAGTTCCCCCACGCCCAGCCCCAAGTATGCTTGGGCTACTCTGTTTCTATCCTTACTTCATAGTAGATGCTGTGGCCACTCAGTTTAGGTTCAGGGATATTTTAAGCTAGGAGAGGAGGGAGAGGAAGAAATCATAGGGATGAGGGACACAGGAACAGGATCAAACATTTGTAATTCCAGATGGGATAGAAGACTGTTGTAATTGGGGTACTAGAGGGAGTCAGCTAGACATATAAAAAGTGGTGGTTAGAGAATGGAATACGTGAAACTGAGATTATAGAGGGGTAAGGGTTTTTAAAGGTTTGATTAGAGCAGTAAATGACTGAAGTAGGTGGAGGATATGGAGAAGAGGCATTCAAGGAATAAAGAGGGCTAGCCATGGGAAGAATCACAATATTGAAACTGCTAGGAATTAATTAAAAAATAGTGTTTGTCCACTGACAATTTTTGGCCAACTGGGAGTAGAAAATGTTGATTTTTCTAAGTCCGCCATTCCTTCCATTTTTATTAGCTTGAATTATCCTGAGAAGAACTTTGGGCATTGTGATGAATGCTGAGCAGGATGACTGCTAAAGTCTGTTTCTTTAGTTATCAATTTTCGAAGAAATTGGTGCTATAATTAATGCAAATGGTAACAATAACCCATTTTGTTTTGTTTTGTTTTTGCTGGGGGAGTGGTGCTGTAAACTTTGCAGATGGGGCAGGGAGCTAGCTTTTTTTGTTAGAGTCAGTGCGAATTTATAGTTTTTCTAAACAATATCTTTGGTTCAGTTGCAGCTATCACTTTTTTTTAATTGTCCCATGTTTGGCAAGGGGGAGCCTCTTCATGCTGGCTTCTGTTCCTTTTATGACATGACTTTACTAATCTTTGAAAGCCTTCTTGCTTTTTGCTGCAAGATGTCCTAGGGCTATATATTTCTTATCCCTGACTTGGCATCATCAATTCCTTTAAAATTCAACTTTATTTTATAAAAAAATTATGTATTAGCAAAAGTTGACAAATGGAATTCAAATAAACTAAAGAGCTTCTGCACAGCAAAAGAATCAATTCCTTTAAAATTCAACTTTATTTCATAAAAAAGTTATGTATTAGCAAAAGTTGACAAATGGAATTCAAATAAACTAAAGAGCTTCTGCACAGCAAAAGAAACTGCAGAGTCAATAGACAATCTACAAGATGGGAGAAAATTTTTGGAATCTCTCCTTCTGATTTACAAGGAAAAAAAAAATTAAAAAGCAGGCAAAGGACAAGAACAGACATTTTTCAAAAGAAAACATTCATGTGGCCAACATAGGAAAAAAGCTCAACATCACTGAGCATCAGAGAAATGCAAATCAAAACCACAATGAGATACTATTTCACACCAGAATATCATCAGAAGGGCAGTTATTAAAAAGTCAAGAAACAGCAGATGCTGGCAACATTACAAAGAAAAGGGAGTGCTTTTACATTATTGGTGGGAGTGTAAATTAGTTCAACCATTGTGGAAGACAGTGCGTTAATTCCTCAAAAATCTAGAAGCGGAAATGCCATTTGACCCAGCAATCCCATTACTGGTTATATACCCAGAGGAATATAAATCATTCTATTATAAGGATACCTGCATGCATATGTTCATTCCAGCACCATTCACTACAGCAAAGACATGGAATCAACCTAAATGATGCCATACAGCCACAAAAAAGAATGAGATCATGTCCTTTGCAGGGACATGGATGCAGATGGAAGCCATTATCCTCAGGAAAGTAATGCTGGAACAGAAAACCAAATACCACATGCTCTCATTTATAAGTGGGAGCTGAAAAATGAGAAAACATGGACACAGGGAGGGAAATAACACACACTGGAGCCTATAGGTTGGTTGGGGGACAGCATCAGGAAGAATAGCTAATGTGTGCTGGGCTTAATACCTAAGTGACTGAATGATCTGTGCAGCAAACCACCATGGTACACGTTTATCTGTGTAACAAACCTGCACATGTACCCTGGAACTTCAAATAAAAGTTGAAGAAAAAAATTGTATGTATTGACATATACTGTGGAAGCTCATGAATACGAGGCTATCATTACTTGTAGAATTTTTATATGGTCGGATTGGAAATAAATACTTATGAAGAGTAAAACCATGTATTCATATCTACAATTTTTAACATCTCAAAAATCTTGCTTAGGCTGGGTGTAGTGGCTTCCGCCTATAATCTCAGTATTTCAGGAGCCTGAGGCAGGCACACTTGAGCTCAGAAGTTCAAGACCACCCGTGGCAGCATAGCAAGACTCGTATCTCTAAAAAGAAGGAAAAAGAAAAAAGAAATTTGCTTATCTTTTTTAAACTTGTATTGGGTTGTTGTTTTCTTTTCTTTCTTTTTTTTTTTTGAGACAGAGTCTCACTCTATTGCCAGGCTGGAGTGCAGTGATGGGATCCAGGCTCACTGCAACTTCCGTTTTCTGGTTTCAAGCAGTTCTCCTGCCTTAGCCTCCCGAGTAGCTGGGACTACAGGCAGCCACCACCACTCCAAGCTAATTTTTTGTACTTTTAATAGAGACGGGGTTTCACCATGTTGGCCAGGATGGTCT